CCCTTATTCTTCTTGCAATGAGCCCCTGGCAATTCGATAAAATATCGCATCGCGCAATACATCGCACTATGAAATGCGATATAAAAATATATCTTGCCAGAACCGCGATATGCGATTTCGTTTTTTTTTTTTTTTTTTTTTTCGCTGCGATGCGTTATCGCATTGCCGTGATAAGTTAAAAACCAATGCAATATCGCATCGCATCGCTTTTTAACCATGTCTACGTGTAGGAAAGTGGCATCTTATGAGGTCATCCAGAACGGAACTCGATCTGAATGTGGAATCTGCTGGGTTCCTTTTACAACCGTTGCCATTTGTTGCAGATGCCATAGCTCAAATGCACGTTGACACATACTGCAAACAGTGCCGCTGATGATCTTTAGGCGCAAGCGCCTTTGTAAAGATATCAGATGTGTTGGCACCGGAGGCCAAGGGTACTACGTGAGCCTGGCGGCGGTGCTGTAGCTCACGCAGGAGGAAGTACCGCAGCTGAATGTGCTTCGCTCTGCCCTTGAGTTTGGGCTCCAGACACAGGAGGATCATGGCCCTATTGTCAGCGTACAAGACCGGGGCAGAGCTAGGCCGCTCACCTAAGTCGGTGAGCAAGAAGGTCAGCCAGAGGAGCTCCTGTGCCGCCATGGCACCGGCGTAGATCTCAGCCTCACAGCTGGACTGGGCAACAGACGAGGAACGAGTGGACCTCCACGCGACAGCACCTGAACCAAGGCTAAAGCAGTAGCCCTGCGAGGACCTGAGGGTCTCAGCGTCGTCTGACCAAGAAGCGACTGTGTGCCCAGTAAGGACAACTGGCCTGCGTCCTCACAGCACTAACCCCATGCCCGATGTACTTGCGAGATAACACAAAACCCTCTTAGCGGCCGACCAGTGCTGCCATCAGTGTCTGCCTGGCGCCACAAAGCGAGCCAGGATGCTGAGAGGGTATTGTTATAGTCACAATAGGCTCAGATGTGCCTATAATGAGAGATAGAGAGCATAGTCGGATTTCCGTCAGACGGCTTCAAATATTGATAACGATCTGCTCTTTAACTTAAACGGTGATTTGTAAGTTGGATCTGAAGCGCGTTGCTATCGTCTATTAGCAGCAAGTTGAATCATGAAATTCCATGAAGATTTGACGTTGCTATGGCGGTTTGACTGGCAGGAGGTATAGCAGCCACTATAGTCTTAGGAGTACAAAAATTTTAGGAAGAAGAATTCGAGAGGGAGATGGTTCCCAGCCTCTACATACCCCCAGAGCCGAGGTCCAGGTTGGTGGTACACCACCACAGAGTCCCCAACCACGAAGAGTCTCGAAACCAACCCTCCAAGGGGCTACACCAAGTGAAATGTAACACTATACGAAGTAGCGTTACCATTTTCACCTTTTTAATATTTATCTGCGTCCCTTGGGCTTGAAATCTTGAGCTCTTGTTCTTGGATCTGCAAGATAAATTCTTCTTGAGTTGATGGGGGCTTGCTGCACACACCTGCGACACGATGGACACTTCACACTCGACAAAATAGAAAAAACACATGCGACACACAAACGACGACTTGACATGCGAGTTGTAAAAACTCGCTAATGTCTTGACCGACACAAACCACATTGTGATACACCATTCAAACACACACACAAGCACTGGATAGCAATGACGTAGACTCACAATTCATTCCATGCCATGCATGCACACACACAAACAAGGATGACAAGCCGAGTGCAAGCCATAGGGTTGCACCAACAGGTATGTAACAAGAGAGGCAAGGACCCGCGAGACAAGAGCAGGAGCAGCACGAAGGTAGTTAGACAGAGGGGGAGGCACGACAACAAGTGACGACGGAGGAGGCGATGGGAGGAGAGGAGGACGAGATGCGTGGGAACGAAGCAACATAGGGTGAGAGTGCTGAACAGGAAAGACAGGACAAGCACGAGAGGAACGACGAGACCAGACATGAGACGGAGGCGTGGGGTCAGGAGACAGAGGAGGAGACACAGGAGGGGAACGCGGAGGGAGACGAGCCGGAGACGAGTCCAGAGGAGGGAACAGAGGGCCGTAGATAGGAGACGGCAGGGAAGGCGCAGCCGGGAGGGGAGGGGAGGGAAGGCCGAGCAGGCAATGGGCGGACACCGGCGGCGACTGCTGCTGCTGATGCACGACGCCGACACCAGGACTACCAACTGCACCACGACGACCCCCAGCACACTCCACTCGAGCACCCCCTGAAGTAGCACCCCCAGAACCAGCACCCTCACCAGCACCGGCGCCACCCCCAGGCCCGCCGGGACAAGCCACGAGAGGAACCCCAGAACTAGCACCCTCCTCAACGCCAGCACCCCTAGAGTCCACAAGCGGCTGCTGCTGCTCCAGCTGCGACGACGGCGGCTGCTGCTGCGGCTGCAACGATGGCTGCTGCGGCGGCGACTGCGACAGCGGAGGAGGAGACCGTGGGGGAGGGGCAGGCTGCGAGAACTACGTCGCAGGGCCGCCAGAGTCAATAGACTCCTCGGCAGGGGCAACTGACAGGAGGGGAGTGACGTGAGACACACCAGACGGGGCAGGATGGGGAGGGAGGGGAGCAGGGGCTACCGGGGGAGTGGGAACCAGAAGCAGGGGAGGGGAGACTGGGAGACCTCGGTGGGGAAAGCGGTGGTAGAAGGAGACAGACTCGTTGAAAGTGACGTCACGCGAGTGGAGGAAGCGGTGAGACTGCGGGTGGTAAATGTGCCACTCAGACGAGTCAAGGGGGAAACCGAGGAAGACAGAGGGGACCGTGCAGGCAGTGAGCTTCTCCGTACCAGAGACACGAATGTGAGCAAGGCAACCCCAGACGTGGAACGTAGACGCGTCACCAGGGGACCCAGTCAAGAGGAGGGTCGGTGAAACCTGCGGCCGCTGGGAGCGGGGCCATAGAAAATGGGGTGCACTGGCATGAATCATGGAGGTACGAGCCACCTCCATGACCAGGCCGATGCGTCGCTCGGCAACCCCATTCTGCTGCGGGGAGTCCGGCAGGGTGTACGACTGGGTGATGCCCTCCGCACGACAAAACTGTCCAAGCCGACCGGAGGCAAACTCGCCACCACGGTTGGAGTGAGACACAGCACAGGGAGACCACGGTGGACGCACACAGTTGCAACCCACGGGACCAGAACGTCAAGCACGTCGGCCTTCCGCTCCAGGGGAAACACCGTGGTGTAACGCGTGTAGTTGTCAACAAGCACCAGAAAGTAGCGCTCGCAACGCGGTCCGGGGACAAGGGCAGGGCCCCAAACGTCTAGGTGGAGCGTATGAAGAGGTGCGGTGGCAGGGTGAAGTGAGGAGGAGTGAGGAGCACGGCGCAGCCGCCCCTCGATGCAGGGTGTACACGGTGGCAAAGGCGAGGGAGGGAGGACAGGAAGCGACGAAGGGAGACCTAGAACGAGACCGTGCTGAGACATGTGACGTAGACGCGGGAGTGCGGGGTGACCTAGGCGGTGGTGCCATAGGAGCAACGGGTGAGTGAGCGACCGATACGAGCAAGCAGCAGCGACCTGGGTAGACGCAGGGGACGAGGACGGTCGTGCCAACTGGGGGGGAAGCAGTGTCCAGCGTAAACAGGCCAGACACCGGGTCCTGGGGGGTACGTGAGGCGGTCTCGGTACAGACAGCAAACCGCTCGTGACCAGGAAAGGTAGTGGTGACGCCGAGGTCCTGAAGACAGCCGACACCAACCAAGTTCCTGGAGAACGAAGGGATGTGGAGGCCTGTAAGGGAACCCGAAGGGACCGCTGGACAGGGAAGGGTAGTGTAACTATGGGCAAACATATGTGTGTATAATTAGTAGACTGCATAAGGTCATGCCATGGAGAGTACAACACATTAGCTATAAACCCCTGTATGCTCCCATTCTAGTCAACTGTTCGAACTTTAAGACATGTTCCATCCATTTTCACCTGTAGTATTCCATATGTATGGAAATGTCATGTGTGGGATTTTGAGGCGTGCACATCCATAGGGTAGGGGATGCTACTACGCTAGGTTCGCCTATGTTCATGCCGGTGTGTGTTTCACCTCTATGCGAATGTTTCATGTTGTTGAGGCATGCAAGGAAATGTGTTGTGGAAAAAATGCACTGTACAGTATGCGCTCCACTTCGCGATGCTCTTGGTTAGTATGGATTCGTCGCACCATCCGCTCGATCCCCCAGCCTCCCCTGCGCAAGTCCCCCGACAGCAAGTTGCACAGACCTCGCCACCCCAATCTGCGCCAACGACGGAACCCTTCCGCTCCGCGCATCCATTCCCCCCCGTTCCGCCGGGTCTGCCGACCCCTTACCCCTACATAGCGCCGTCCTCGTACTATCACTATCCGCCGTCGCACTATCCCCCTCCTGGTTGGTATGACTACGTGAGATATCCGCCACCAGTTTCCCTCTGGCTTCCCACCCCTCCCTACACTCTCACCCACGCCCCTTACTCAGCCATTTCAAGACCTGCTATTGGCGCATGAAATCACCCTGGAAGTCCCGAAGGGGGAGAGGAAAGGGGCTCTCTGACTGTTCGCACTTCTACTGGGAGCATCGGGGGTGAAATCCTTGCCCTCTTTCTTCCCCCTCCTTCCTTGCCCCCCCCCCCCCCCCCACCCCCCCTCCCTTACCAGCCGTTTCAAGCCCTGCTACTGGCGCTTGAACTCACGCTAGAAGACCTGAAAGGGGAAAAGAAGGGGCTTCTTCAACTGTTCGCCTTGCTGCCGGGAGCACTGGAGGTGACTTCCCTGCGCTCTTTCTCCCACCTTCCCATCTTTACCCCTCCCCCCCATCCTGTTACCAGCCGTTTCAAGACGTGCTACTGGCACACGAAATCACCCTAAAAGACCTGAAGGGAGAGAAGTAAGGGGCTTTGCAGCTGTTCACGCTGTTGCTGGGAGCACCAGAAGTGACCCTCTCTGTCTCCCCACCCACCTTACACTTCCCCCCCTTCCCTCCCTTCTTTCCCTTCCCCTTACCCAGCCGTTTCAACACCTATTGCTGGCACATGAGATAACTCTAGAGGACCTGAAAGGGGAGAAGAAGGGGGCTCTTCAGCTGTTCGCGTTGCTGCTGGGAGCACCGGAGGAAACATCGTTACGAAAGGATGAGTTGGCAGAAGTGATTTTAAGGGCGGATGCATGGGAGAGAGTGAGGGGGGAAGGGAGGGGGACGATAGGAGGGAAAAGAGGGGTTGAGAGGGGGGGGGAGAGAGGGGGCGAGAAAGGGGGGGAGAGGGGGGGAGAGAGGTGGGGATAGAGGTGGGGAGAAGGAGACTAGAGCAAAGCTGGTGTGGAGATAGGAAGCGAGAGAGGAGTAGAAAGAGGGGCTACTGCAAGGGCAGCAACGGGATCATCCGTGGGCGAAGCAGCCACAACCGCAGCAGCAGCAGCAGCAGCTGCAGCCATAGCAGTAGCAGGAGAATTACCACCACCACCATTGCTACAACCAATAGTAGCCGCTAGCTCAGCAGTAGCTTCAACAGCAGCAGCAGCCACTAACTCAGCAGTAGCAGCAGCATGCACAAAAACAGCAGGACCAGCTGTGCCCCTACCGACAGCACCTTCAGCAGCAGCTCTACCTGCAGAACCGTCCCCAACATCCCTCCCAACTGCACAGAACCGCACATTATCCCCGCAACCTCCCTCGCAGTTGCCGGGACTCCTTTTACCTCAGGAAATTGGGCTGTCAGGTATTGGGGACGAGCGGATTGCAAGGTTAAACCGGCCTGCAGATGTGCTTCTAACGGAGTTCCTTGAAAGGAGGATGCAATGAGAGTACACGGAGGAGCGGGAGCTACTGGCTGCCAAGCTGGAGGCATACGTACGATCGTTCATCAGGACGAACCCAAGGGCGCTCAAGGTGAGGCACAGCTAACGGTTCACACTCTTAAGCTGGAGGCGTACGTGGGAGAGAGGGCGTATACAGAGGAGCGGGAGCTGCTGGCTTCCAAGCTAGAGGCATACGTTCGATCGCTGATCAGGACAAACCCAAGGGCGCTCAAGGTGAGGCATAGCTAGCGGTTCACACTCTTAAGTAGGAGGCGTACGTGGGAGAGAGGGCGTATACGGAGGAGCGGGAGCTGCTGGCTGCCAAGCTGGAGGCATACGTTCGATCGCTGATCAGGACGAACCCAGGGCTCTCAAGGTGAGGCACAGCTAGCGGTTCACACTCTTAAGCTAGAGGCGTACGTGGGAGAGAGGATGAACCCCAATGCGTTCGTATCCTTGGTGCTGGTACTACTATCCTTGGTGCTGGTACTACTATCCTAGGTGCTGGTACTACTATCCTTGGTTCTGGTACTACTATCCTTGGTGCTATTACTACTATCCTTGGTTCTGGTACTACTATCCTTGGTTCTGGTACTACTATCATTGGTGCTGGTACTACTATCCTTGGTGCTGGTACTTTTCTCCTTGGTTCTGGTACTACTATCCATGGTGCTGGTACTACTATCCTTGGTTTTGGTACTACAATCCTTGGTGCTGGTACTACTATCCTTGGTTCTGGTGCGACTATCCTTGGTTTTGGTACTACTATCCTTGGTGCTGGTACCACTATCCTTGGTGCTGGTACTACTATCATTGGTTCCGGTACTTCTATCCTTGGTTTCGGTACTACTATCCTTGGTGCTGGTACTACTCTCCTTGGTTCTGGTTCTACTATCCTTGGTGCTGGTACTACTATCCTTAGTTCTGGTACTACTCTCCTTGGTGCTGATACTACTATCCTTGGTTCTGGTACCACTATCCTTGGTGCTGGTACTACTCTCCTTGGTTCTGGTTCTACTATCCTTGGTGCTGGTACTACTATCCTTGGTTCTGGTACTACTATCCTTGGTGCTGGTACTACTATCCTTTGTTCTGGTACTACTATCCTTGGTTATGGTACTACTATCCTCGGTGCTGGTACCACTATCCTTGGTTCTGGTACTAGTATCCTTTGTTCTGGTACTTCTATCCTTGGTTCCGGTACTACTGTCCTTGGTGCTGGTACTACTATCCTTGGTTCTGGTACTACTATCCTTGGTGCTTGTACTATTATCCTTGGTTCTGGTACTACTCTCTTTGCTGCTGGTACAACTATCCTTGGTTCTGGTGCTACTATCCTTGGTGCTGGTACTACTATCCTTGGTTCTGGTTCTACTATCCTTGGTTCTGGTACTACTATCCTTGGTGCTGGTACTACTATCCTTTGTCCAGCACTGCGCAGCAGAGGAGGATCTGCAGTTTGAGAAGCGGGAGGTGCTGAGGGTGGTGGCGCTGCAGCTGGGGTGCGCCGTGACTGCCAAGGCGAAGAAGCTAGACTTGGTGAAGGCTAGCGGTGGCAGTCCGCTCTGGCAGGCACATAAAAGGAGAGAGAGGGGAAATGGGGATTCAGAGAAAGGTGGAGGAGGGGTGGGAAGAGGAGGAAGAAAGGAGCACGAGTACCAGCACCAGCACCAGCAGCAGCAGCAATATCACCACCAATTACAGCAGCACCGACAACTGCAGCAAAAGCAGCAGCAGCAACAGCAATGGCAGCACCAGTAGCAACAACTACTGCAGCAACAACAGAACCATCAACAACAACAGCAGGAGCAGCGGCAACAGGAGCACCACCACCTGCAGCAGCAGCAGTTGGAGGAGGGGCAGAGCCGAAAGGGGATCCAGACCTGTGGTATGTACAATGAGAGCTTGCTGCAGGCGTTGGCAGGGCAGAGTCCGGAAGGGGGAGATGAGAGGGAGGAGAGAGGAGAGGAAGGCATGAATGGGCGTGAGGTGGAGGGGTATTTCGAGTCGACTCAAAATACACATGAGAGGGAGGAGAGGAGAGAGGAAGGCATGAATGGGCGTGAGGTGGAGGGGTATTTTGAGTCGACTCAAAATACACATGAGAGGGAGGAGAGTGGAGAGGAAGGCGTGAATGGGCGTGAGGTGGAGGGGTATTTTGAGTCGAATCAAAATACACATGAGAGGGAGGAGTGAGGAGAGGAAGGCATGAATGGACGTGAGGTGGAGGGGGGAGCGCGACACGCCGAAGAAGGGTTGCGAGGTGAGGGAGAGCAAGCGGGAACAGCAGGGGAAGAAAAGGATGAGAAAGAAATCCGGGAAGAGAGGGAAGAGATATATATGGAATTCGTAGAGAAAGAGGGAACCGTGGACTTTCCTGGTGGGGGAACGAGGGAGCTCGAGTCTCTGGCAAAGCTTCACCTGGATAACTTATTGGGACGCAGGCACCATCTTGACGAGGTGATGGGTGAGGTTTCGAGTACAGGACGGGTGACGTTGCAGCAGTTGCAACGGCTGAAGAATTTGCTTCGGACATATGCTGCATATTGTGAAGCGCAGAACATGTTAGAAGAGCAGTTTGTTTTAACACAAAAGCACGATTTATGAATAGAACTCTTTGAATTGTAAAGAAACATGCGACTTCTTTGTTATTGTGCAACCACTAAAACAATAGCGGTGTATTGGACACCTGAGACTCCGAACCTCTCGGACACAATGAGGGCGCGACGGATCAGGTCTGGAAGGGTTTCTAGCCACCGAAGATTCAATGGGAACTGTTGATCAACACGTTTCACCACTCTGTAGCGTACAGAAGCTTCAAAAACCATTATGTTATCTGCTGAGTCAAGCAAGGCAGCATCAGTCAGAGGCTCCTCGAGATGCTGATTGGTGTATGTGGCGATGCTGAGTGGTGCATGTGACGATGCTATGTGGTGCATGTGGCAATGCCGAGTGGTGCATCTGGCGATGCTGAGTGGTGCACGGGACGATGCTGAGTGGTGCATCTGGAAGTGCTGAGAGGTGCATGTGGCGATGCTGAGTAGTGCATGTGGCGATGCTGAGCGGTACATGTGGCGAGATGGAGTGGTGCATGGGGCAATGCTGAGTGGTGCTTCTGGCGATGTTGAGCGGTGCATGTGGCGATCTTGAGTTGTGCATTTGGCGATGTTGAGTAGTGCATTTGGCGATGCTGATTGGTGCATGTAGAGATGCTGAGTGGTGCATGTGACGATGCCGAATGATGCATGTGGCAATGATGAGTGGTGCATTTGGTGACGTTGAGTTGTGCATATGACAATGCTGAGAGGTTCATGTGGCGATGTTGAGTGGTGCATGTGGTGATGCCGAACGGTGCATGTGGTGATGCTAAGAGGTGCATGTGGCGATGCTGAGTGGTGCATGTGGTGATGTTGAGTGGTGCATGTGGGGACGTTGAGTGGTGCATGTAGCGACGTTGAGTGGTGCATGTGGCAATGTTGAGTGGTACATGTGGCGATGCTGAGTGGTGCACGTGGCAATGCTGATTGGTGCATGTGGCGATGCTGAGTGGTGCATGTGGTGATGCTGAGTTGTACATCCGGCGATGTTGAGTGGCGCATGTGGCGATCTTGAGTGGTGCATGTGGCGATGCTGAGTGGTTCATGTGGCAATGCTCAGTGGTGCATTTGGCGATACTGAGTGGTGCATGTGGCGATGCTGAGTTGTGCATGTGGCGACGTTTAGTGGTGCATGTGGCGATGCTGATTCGTGCTTCTAGCTATGTTGAGTGGTGCACGTTGCAATGTTGGGTTGTGCAGGTTGCGATGCTAAGTGGTGCATGAGGCGATGATGGGTGGTACATGTGGCGATGGTGACTGGTAGATGTGGCGATATTGAGTGGTGCATGTGGCGACGCTGAGTAGTTCATGTAGTGATGCTGAGAGGTGCATCTGGCGATGTTGCGAGGTGCATGTGGCGATGCTGAGAGGTGCATGTTGCGATGCTGAGTGATGCATGTGGCGAAGCTGAGTGGAGCATGTGGCGATGCTGAGTGGTGCATCCGGCAATGCTGAGTGGTGCATGTCGCGATGCCAAGTGGTGCATGTGGCGATATTGAATGGTGCATGTGGCGATCCTGAGTGGTGCATGTTGCGATGCTGAGTGCTGCATTTGGCGATACTGAGTGGTGCATTTGGAGATGCTGAGTTGTGCATGTTGCAGCGTTGAGTGGGGCATGTGGCGATGCTGTTTGGTGCTTCTGGCTATGTTGAGTGGTGCATGTTGCAATGTTGAGTTGTGAATGTGGCGATGTTGAGTGGTGCATGTGGCGATGGTGAGTGGTGCATGTGGCGATGTTGAGTGGTGCATGTGACCATATGAGTGGTGCATGTGGTAATGCTGATTGGTGCATGTGGCGATATTGAGTGGTGCATGTGGTGATGCTGAGTGGTGCATGTGGCGATGCGGAGTGGTGCATCTGGCGATGCTGAGTGGTGCAACTGGTAATGCTGATAAGTGCATGTGGTGATGCTAATGGTGCAAGTGGCGATGTTGAGTGGTACATGTGGCGATGCTGAGTGGAGCATATGGCGATGATGAGCGGTGCATCTGGCGGTGTTGATTGGTGCATGTGGCGATGCTGAGTGGTGCATGTGGCGATGGGTACACCTCTGATTCGCGGTGCACCATGGGCCATGGGGTACACCTCTGATTGGCAGTGCACCATGGGACATGGGGTACACCTCTGATTGGCAGTGCACCATGGGCGATGGGGTACACCTCTGATTGGCGGTGCACCATGGGCCATGGGGTACACCTCTGATTGGCGTTGCACCATGGGCCATGGGGTACACCTCTGATTGGCAGTGCACCATGGGCCATGGGGTACCCCTCTGACTGGCGGTGCACCATGGGCCGTGGGGTACACCTCTGATTGGCAGTGCACCATGGGCGATGGGGTACACCTCTGATTGGCGGTGCACCATGGGCCATGGGGTACACCTCTGATTGGCGTTGCACCATGGGCCATGGGGTACACCTCTGATTGGCAGTGCACCATGGGCCATGGGGTACCCCTCTGACTGGCGGTGCACCATGGGCCGTGGGGTACACCTCTGATTGGCGTTGCACCATGGGCCATGGGGTACACCTCCGACTGGCGGTGCACCATGGGCCATGGGGAACCCCTCTGATTGGCGGTGCAGCATGGGCCATGGGGTACCCCTCTGATTGGCGGTGCACCATGGGCCATGGGGTACACCTCTGATTGGCGGTGCACCATGGGCCATGGGGTACACGTCTGATTGGCGTTGCACCATGGGCCATGGGGTACACCTCTGATTGGCAGTGCACCATGGGCGATGGGGTACACCTCTGATTGGCGGTGCACCATGGGCCATGGGGTACACCTCTGATTGGCAGTGCACCATGGGCCATGGGGTACCCCTCTGACTGGCGTTGCACCATGGACCATGGGATACACCTCTGATTGGCGGTGCACCATGGGCCATGGGGTACCCCTCTGATTGGCGTTGCACCATGGGCCATGGGGCACACCTCTGATTGGCAGTGCACCATGGGACATGGGGTACCCCTCTGACTGGCGGTGCACCATGGGCCGTGGGGTACACCTCTGATTGGCGTTGCACCATGGGCCATGGGGTACACCTCCGACTGGCGGTGCAGCATGGGCCATGGGGAACCCCTCTGATTGGCGGTGCAGCATGGGCCATGGGGTACCCCTCTGATTGGCGGTGCACCATGGGCCATGGGGTACACCTCTGATTGGCGGTGCACCATGGGCCATGGGGTACACCTCTGATTGGCAATACACCATGGGCCATGGGGTACCCCTCTGACTGGCGTTGCACCATGGACCATGGGATACACCTCTGATTGGCGGTGCACCATGGGCCATGGGGTACCCCTCTGATTGACGGTGCACCAGGGGCCATGGGGTACACCTCTGATTGGCGTTGCACCATGGGCCATGGGGTACACCTCTGATTGGCAATACACCATGGGCCATGGGGTACCCCTCTGACTGGCGTTGCACCATGGACCATGGGATACACCTCTGATTGGCGGTGCACCATGGGCCATGGGGTACACCTCTGATTGGCGTTGCACCATGGGCCATGGGGTACACCTCTGATTGGCAATACACCATGGGCCATGGGGTACCCCTCTGATTGGCGGTGCACCATGGGCCATGGGGTACCCCTCTGATTGGCGTTGCACCATGGGCCATGGGGTACACCTCTGATTGGCAGTGCACCATGGGCCATGGGGTACCCCTCTGATTGACGGTGCACCAGGGGCCATGGGGTACCCCTCTGATTGGCGGTGCACCATGGGCCATGGGGTACCCCTCTGATTGGCGTTGCACCATGGGCCATGGGGTACACGTCTGATTGGCGTTGCACCATGGGCCATGGGGTACACCTCTGATTGGCAGTGCACCATGGGCGATGGGGTACACCTCTGATTGGCGGTGCACCATGGGCCATGGGGTACCCCTCTGATTGACGGTGCACCAGGGGCCATGGGGTACACCTCTGATTGGCAATACACCATGGGCCATGGGGTACCCCTCTGATTGGCGGTGCACCATGGGCCATGGGGTACACCTCTGATTGGCGTTGCACCATGGGCCATGGGGTACACCTCTGATTGGCAATACACCATGGGCCATGGGGTACCCCTCTGATTGGCGTTGCACCATGGGCCATGGGGCACACCTCTGATTGGCAGTGCACCATGGGACATGGGGTACCCCTCTGACTGGCGGTGCACCATGGGCCGTGGGGTACACCTCTGATTGGCGTTGCACCATGGGCCATGGGGTACACCTCCGACTGGCGGTGCACCATGGGCCATGGGGAACCCCTCTGATTGGCGGTGCAGCATGGGCCATGGGGTACCCCTCTGATTGGCGGTGCACCATGGGCCATGGG